GCCATAGTTTATGGGCGCTGTACGCAATATAGGCGTAGTTATGTTAGTATAACATAATAAATTGTGTTGTTATGAAATAAAAAAATAAAAAAATATATATTTTTTACTTTAAATCTTTTTTTTTATCCCCAATTTTTGCCTCCCCCGATGGGTTGATGCGCCCTTAGCATTCGCCTATACTGCAAGGGCCGGCCCTGCTTACAGGTCAAATGAAAGCTTTATGAGATGATTGCAGTTTCTTGTTACTAGCAACCACATGATTATAAAACATAAAACAAGCAGCAGCGACTCATAGTGACTCACTGACTCTCACATGTTCAAATGATGACTGCAGCGTCCGCTGTTTCCTGCTTTGATATTGCAATAGTGCCATTTCAAGATATCAGAACCTATTTTTACACTTTTAACGTTTACACTTTACTATTCAGGTTTCGCCTAATTTGTAGATCTCAACCGTAACAATTTTAGTTCTCTTATACTGTATTTTTGAAATAGCTTAAGTGTGCACTTTGCAAATGTTTTACCACCGACTGGATTAACACATTGGTAACTCAGCCTCTACATTTGCAGTTTCAAACACACAGCTTTTTGTAGGACTTTCTGTTGAATATCATCTGTCGCACAGGATTGGTGACTCTTATGTTACCAAATCATTTCAAATGTATATAAGATCTTGCCATTATGTAAGTTATTTATCTCGTAACTTGCTCGTATGTAATATTTGCACTGCTGTTTGATTGACAGGTGATTTGGGCCACAATAGAGACATTACAACAATGAGCGGTAGACAGCAGAGAATATAACTACTTACTGATAACAATAATAAATGTATATTTGTTGCTCTTAAAACTGAGCAAAAATGTGTACATCTTTAGGGAATGATATTGAGCTGCACAAACATCTCATGTATTAATCAACATGAAGCTTCATTATGGGTCACTCTAGCAGGGCACGTGCCATCAGTGGAGGAGAACCAGGAAGGGACCTCGTCCTCTTCTTCTTTTAAATAGTCATTTAATTATCCAGCAGGTCTGAGCAGATATGCCCATATCCAATTCAAAGCTGTATAAGGCTGTGTAAACAACACATTACAGAACTTCTAATTGTAATGTTAAACTGCTGGGTCATATTAAAAAAAAATAATCTTCACTAATTATACAATTGCAAACAAGTGTGGAGAATAAATCATTTACGATTCAGAAATCCTTGGAGATAGTCTATACTTGTTCATTTGCACACAACCTAAATTCATTATTTATCCCGGAGAATGAATAAATTGTCCCTGTTAGCCCGTGATTGAACTTGAAGCTGGTGAAAAATGCAGTCAGTGCTGCCGTAGCCCAGCGCGCAGCTATCTAATGACAACAACAGAGCAAGAACAGAGGCATGGGCTTTAATTATTGCATCTGGGTCGGGAGTAGAAACGAAGGAAACGAATAACGAGGAGGAGGAGGTGGAGGAGGAGGAGGAGGAGGAGGAGGAGGAAAGAGACTCATCGAGAGACTTTGGTACTGAGAATATTAAGGAGAATGTTTGTTTTAGAATCGATTTAATGATTTTACTCATTACTTTTAATGCTCTTCATTGCTTGGCCCAAGTTTCACTTGAGTCTGTTTCCCCAACCTGCTCTGAGGTCCTGAGGCAAGAGCCTACTGGCTTTTTCATGGCAAAACTTCACAAATAATCAGTGCAGAACTTTTGCTGTTGGGCACCTCAACTCTGATCTGCATGTTTGAATATCTTAAAGGGGCCCTATTACGCTCATTTTCAAGGTTCGTAGTTGTATTGTGTTGCTCTACTGTGACATGTGTACATGCTCTAATGTTCAAAAAGGTCTTCTTTCTCCTCATACTGCCTGTGCTGTAGCACCTCTTTTTACCCTCTGTCTGAAACCAAAGCTCAAGAGTTAAATATTATAAAGAAACAAAGAAATTATAGCAAAGAAAATGAGTGAGTGAGAGTACGGGAAAAAGAAAAACACTGTTAAAGAGAGGGAGTGAGAGCATTAGAAACATTGTGAATAAAGATGAAAGCTCATTTGTCCAACTAGGTTTTACTGGAGCAGTGAATAGGGGTGTGTGCCTGCATCTGTGTCTGCAGGGTGGCCACAAGGATCTGCGATCTTGCTCCCTCCGCCTTCCAGAGAGAGAGAGAGAGAGAGAGAGAGAGAGAGAGAGAGAGAGAGCAGTCACACGCAGAGAGGAGCTGGGACGAGAGACAGAACAGAAGAGAGCTGTCAAGCTGCGAGGAGGCAGCGGAGAGACGACTTAGTTTTTTCTTGGAATACATGTTCCCTCCATCTCTGAAGCCAACACACACACTCAAAGAATATAAGCAAGCACACAAACACACAGATGGGGAAGTGTGAGTGCTGCTGTTGAATCATTTTTAGGATTTGGACTTACTCAAGCGCGTTTGGATTCAGCATCTTTGGACTTTTTGTTACAGTGCAACACTTTGGATAAAGAGTGTGTTGAATGCAACAGTGAGATTTTGACTGACACTTTCAGCACTTGGACTCACTGTACGTTTGTTTGTGTGTCTGAGGAGGAGGAGGAGGAGGAGGAGGATGTATCGGTTGGTGACAGCGGTGCTGCTCGCCCACCTCGGGGCCTCCTTTACGGGTGCATGGAGGGCATCTCAACCAAGACTGCAGTTCACCCACTCCGGTAAGACACTTTTTTTGTTGCCATCATTCTTCACTCTTATTTAATCTGTCCCGCTCTCATTTTCCAAACACACACCGTGCAGGTGACCGGTTTCACACACCTTCTTCTTATGTTTCACGTGTCTCTCTTTCATGTTGGATTCTCGCCCACTAACTGTCATGCGATATCTTGAGCAGAAATGATACCGCTGCCCTTCTGTCCCTCTATTTGTTTTGGTTCTTTCCCACACTCTCTAACTTCCTCTATCCTTGCAATCACCTGCATTACACTCATCTATCTCCAGTACTCAAGTTTCTCTGTAAAAGCCTGGACTACTTATTTGGAACACTTGCAGTGTTAGAAACTGAGTGTTCCCCCCTAAATGACACCTTTGTCATTTCAATTGGTTACCACAGCACAGTTATGGCAGCTGTCAGGTATATAAGACACCTTACAGCACAGTTTTAGCTTATTCCAATGTAGGTCTGAACTCAGAGTTATGCCCATTTCTTTCTGGTATGATAACATTTTACATTTTATCTGGGTATATGGTTACATTGCGACAAAAAACAAGTCAAACAGGTTGTAAACAAGCAAATACTGTAACCAGATTATCCAAAACCACTAATAACTAAGTAATTGTAGCCTAAATAAACTGAAATGTTGCTTTTTCTCTATCATTACACAGCAAAACTGTGTACAAACACACTTACAGAAAGTAGAGTGCCTTAAAGTTCAATAGTGAGTCAGGCTTTAATCTGAGGTGGATGTTTACAAAGGACAGTTTGTATTAAAGCTTTACTATCTACATATTATCTCTCTACATTTATCACAGGGTTCTAATCGCCTGAGTTTTTGTTTCTCGTGCTGTTTAACAAAACTTCAATTTACTTATAGACACAATGAACAAAAGTATGACAATGTAATCTCTTATTTAAAGATCTATAAAGGGCCCATGTCATGCTTTTCCGGTTATTACCCGTCCCCTTGTGTGTTCTGAAGGTTTTTATGCTTGTAAACGGTCTGCAGAGTCAAAAACCCTCAAAGTACACCCTGTAGCGAGTAAAGCTCTAACACAGAAAAGACTAATTTTCCATTGTTTGCTTCCTGGGTTCTGTGACGTGTGAACACCCAAATCAACAACAAATGACAAGATTGGCCCAAATGGACCAATCCGCAGAGCACCTCACACACCAGGATCCCTTGGCTAACTAACAGGGAGTGCCCATTGACTTGCATAGAGTAATAGACGAGTTGCCCATGCTCACAGCGTTATAAACCTTTTTCTTACTCAATATCAAGCCACACTTATTGTTTTTACTTCGGCTGTGAGTGTTTGTGTGTGCTCAGGATGAGTTTTGCTTGTTCTCGCTGTATCGCCGACCCGGAAACCTGTCCGCTCCTCGCAGCAACTCGAAGCAGTGGCGAGCAGCGAGTGAATACCTGGTGAATACACGTACTTTACGGAGATGCTGTATGAGAAACTAATGTGAGTTTGGAAAATTGCACAATATAAATCTCTTCTAGTAGACCTCAACAATGGACTTATGATCAGTAGAAATGGCCATGACATGGGACCTTTAAATGTAGTGTCTTTGAAATATCAATTACAACATCTATGCAGATAGGAGGCAATTTGTATCTAATTAAGATACACATTACATTTTCTATAGAAGTAAAATCAACATCTTTGAATCAATTGAGCAATTAAGCCTCACACCCAAAGACATGGCGACTGTCATTCATTGACAGGATTTAAAATCGAGTGTCTATGTCTGTTAGTTTCAGTAATGGCTAACAAAGAAATAATTATCTGATGGCAGAAGTCCCAGATCCTGATCACAACCAAATTAATTATCTCTTGGCCTCAGGCCGATCCGTCAACCGCAGAGAAATCCATGCAGAGGTTGCTGCAGAAACCTGCAGACGCAACAGAGCGGGAAAAGAAAGCCATATTTATTTTTTGACTAAAATACAAAACTTCAGCTTTGTATTCAGCATTGTGGATTGTGCATCGGTATTCTGATGTACTGTATTGAATCTTCTTTTCCTCAATGTCTTTATCTTCATGCACTTGTTAGTTGCCTCTGTGCAGCACGTTGCATAAACACATGTTGTTTAATCAACATGTCGCTGTTTAACAGAAGCATAGTCAGTAGCTTATGCATGGTTGAATAGAAACAACAGGACCTCTGTTCAGCCGTGCCCCACAATCATCTATTAGTTGTTTGCGTTTTTTACCTTGTTGGTGCAGCAGTGGGGTGTGGTTATCGTCCCTGGAGAATAAACTGAAGATTGAACACGTTTTTGAAGCGCTCTGAGATATCCTGAAGCATCTACTCCTCCAAGCAGGATGGGGTTCAACACATTGACCCATGTTGAGTGTTTGGATGTTTGGGTGTAACGAACATGTCGGTCAAAAGTAATGAGAAAGCAAAGGTCTGCATCTTCTAATTAAAAAAGGATTTGGGGTTCAGTCTTTTGCCCTCTCAGCCATATTTGAAGCAAATTGCCTTCAAATGAAAAGCTGCTTTAAGGTATCCTGGCCTTTAGTTACGGGGAGATGTCCCTTTAATCATGTTTACCAGAGGACATCGTAGAATAAGAAAGCAACTGATTACACGTTCTTACATAAGCCAAACAAACACAAAGGGTCTGTGAAGTGGATGAAGTCGACCAACCGTGACCTAGAAAGTACAGAGAGAGGGAAACCTTGTTGGATTCTCCCAGGTGTGAATTTAGCTCTAATGAAGCCTGAATGAGAAAATGTGATGAGCTGCTGAAGTAGCTGCATATTGTGTTTGTCAGCATGTGTGTGTGGGGTGTATGAAGTGTGTGAGCTTAAATTGAGCAGTTTTAGGTTCGACGATCTCTGCCCACCTCAGCCTTTCTTGTGTGTTTGCATGTGTGTGTTTTAGGGCTGCTCGATTATGGCAAAAATCATAATCTCGATTATTTGGGTCAATAATTGATATCACGATTATTAAAACGATTATCCATTTACATTGAAAATATCCATTTATTGAAAAAAAAATGTGAACAGTATGTTTTTAACAGTTGATTACCCTGAACTTTAAGTATAATTCAACTGAAAAACCAATAAAAAAAATCTTTTGAAATAAAAGAATAATCGTTTTATTTCGATTACGTTGTTTTCATAATCGTTGCAAGCCAAAATCGTAATTGCGATTAAAATACGATTAATTGAGCAGCCCTAGTGTGTTTTATAGCTTCAGTATGTTCATCTAAGAAATGGGTGATGTGATGGTGTGTGCAGTGATTCTGTTCACCATCATGCATGTGTGTGTGTGAGTTGTGTGTGTGCGTGCTCTCCCTCTCTCTCTCTGGGAGCTCCATGCTGTGGTCATTTCCCTTCCCATCTCTACGGAGGTTTTCCTCAGAAAGAGGGAGGAGATTTTTGTCGGGGAATCGCTGTAATTACCGAAGGATTTCAGCTCAACTTAAAGACTTTGATTCAGAGGTTGTTTGGCAGTTCAGAGACACTCATTAGGATTTCCCTTCATCTGTTGAAGGCATAGCTGACAACCAGTGTACAAACGGCAGAAACACATGAGTAAATCTGCATATTTAGCAAACAAGGATGTTAATCTGTCACATCACTGTAATAGTGTTTACTCTAATTCCTGCAACGATTCTGTAAAACTGGTCAATGAATGCATGATTGGAAGAAAATGGTTGCTCTGTAAAATTCTGCTGGCAAAAAAAAGACTGTTTAGCAAAAATGTTGCTGATTTTCACATTTAGATTTCCTGTACTGGCTGCTCTGGCCACTCTGCTTTTAAAGCATGTTTAAAACCACACTGTAGAACGTCTGAAATCCATCAAGCTGAAAATTATGTTTTTTTGACATACCGGTAGTTACGTTTCACCTGCCAGCACTTGTAAACTATATTCCTTTCAGACGTTACGGTTGAAACATAAGACTGAAGCTGTCCCAAGTCTGCGCTGCTTTCTTAGTCTAACAGGGCTTTAGGTATGAACTGAATTCACTCTGGAATGGACAGATTTGATACTCACTCAGTCAGATGTCTGTATGCAGACTATATTCCCTTTGTCATTCTTATTCATTCCGATAATGTCCCAGAATGCAAAGCCCAACAGAGATGGAGGGGCTGCTCACATCTGGAAAAATCTAAAAGAAACTTGTTGGTAAAAATCAGAAAACAGAAAAGATAGGAAGCTGCCTGTGACCGACAACGTCATAATCCATCGATCAACAGCGGCTGGTAACACGCCAAGTTATGCTGTGATGCACCTGCAAAGACAGCATTGTGTAAAGCTTTGTTTTTTGGAGTGAAAAGGAATTATGCATTTCAGTTTTCCAACTATATTGGAAGAAGAATATATTGAAGTAGAAATGGGCCCTTTTTCCAAGGGCACATTTCTGCATATTGGCTGCCAATCACCCCAGATGGTACTAGAAACCACAATCCCCAGCTTAGGAGGCCTGTGCCTTATCCATTGGGCCACTGGGGCTTTTGACATCCTAAATTGAGAAGTTATGTCAACAAAGACTCAGTGCAAACTCTACGCCTGCAGAGAGTAAACAACTCTGGCAGAGGAAGTTGTCATAAAAACAAACTGTTACTATACTACCATTAAACTAAGCAGAGCTTGCCGACCACTTTGACACCCTCTCACTCACCTCCATGCTTCATTCATTCTCTAGTGTGAAAATGTCCATGAAAATTAGATGACATTAAAATGAAAATTCGTATATTTGTTTCTTCTCATGTCCGTTACACTGCTTCGCTTAGGCTCCATCACTCGTTGGACAGGGCCGAAGTGCTGAAGGTGCAGAAAACAGTTTGACAGACACTCACTTACGGCTCAAAATTGGCCAACGTCAGATAATCGGATTGGTGTGTTAGGGCCTTTAGGCATGGTGAAGTCAGTTAACACAAAGAGAGACAACCCAACCATCTTTGTGATATCCACTCATTACCTTTGGTTGGATTGAAACCGGTTAACTATGCAGAGTGACTACAAACACAGATTTA